TACTCATATCTCATGGGATATATATATATATATATATATAAGGTTAGATCTACTCCAATAAGAAACTTTTAAAAACTCTAAGGTAGAGAACAATAAGGAGGTCCCCACCCAAAAGAAAAGTAAGAGAGGGGGAAGAGGAATTAGAGACCACAGTTAAATTAGAGACATTCCCAAGTTTAGCTAACCAATTGGCAGGGTAATTTCCTTCTCTGTAAATAAATGAAAAGTGGATAACAATAAGAGGCCTCATTGTCTTGATCTTCTTAATCCATTGTGAAATATGCCAAGGAGAAGCATCTTCAATAGTAAAGACTTGTAGGAGCAAGAATTAATCCACCTCCACTTGTAAAAAGTTCCATTTGTAAAGCAGGGCTAATTTAATGGCCCAAAAAATAGCTGCTAATTCAGCTTCCAGAGGATCCAAAACTAATATGGATGAGGAGAAGAAAAGAAGACAGTCCCCTTTGTGGTCCCTGAAAACACCCTCAATGCCTGCCCCCCATTCAAATAAACTTCCATCAGTGTTTACCTTAATGTAAGGATGAGAAGCTCTTCTCCATAGCATAATTATGATTTCATTTTTAGGAGTAATACCATGCCAAGTTGAAGTATAAATATTAGGGAAACTTTTGAGGGAGAATAATGGGTTGCTAGTAACCATTGTGTTGAGTGCCTAGCCAGACTTCATCGATGGAGGGGGGAGTGTAACATCTCTTTCCACTATGATCCTAAGCCACTAAAGGTCTTGTTAAATTAAAAGTAGAGATGTCCAACTTCAGTGGTCTGCCCAAAAGGTACCCAATTGAAAAGAAGACTTTATGGTGAAAGAAATGTAGTTTCAACCCAGGCAGCTTAAACCAAATGGGTATAACAGGAAGCTCCATTCCAGGATTAAACTCAGAAGTTCATTTCAATAGATTCATTTGGTTGCCCTCAATGTTAATCTGCATTTTAGAGAAGATCCTAGCATAATCTTCCACATTAGCCAAATGGATCACTACATGCCTACCATCAAATAATCCTACTTTCCAGTAACCTGTTAACTTGAAGTCCTCAAAGGTTTTCCTTATAAGATCCATCTTGGGTGTCCTAGTTAAAATTTACTAATGAGGTGAATTTGCATCTATGAGACAGGTCACCAACTTCACCTTCAGAGAAAAGAGGGCATGTTTACTACTCTTCTTAGAACCTTTCTTGAACAAATAGCATTCTGCCTCTCCAATCAAGGCATCATGCTATGATTAGGGAAAAACCAACTAATCACTCAGCAATCCCATGGGAGAGATAGCCGCCGCACAAGTCTTCCTCACATAGTTAGGATCAGCTTGTTGTAGTGAAGCACCCATAGTAGTCCAGAAGAATACAGGAAATGTCTAGCAGGAAACAACAGGCCAACAAAACAGAGAAAGTAGAAGCAATGGAACAGTATAAAGTTCAAAAAAGCAAGCCCGGGAAATAAGAAAGCTTCACAAAATGAACTGCCACCTAGCAGGCAGGTGAGGAAAAGCCACAAAAGGATTCCAACAAACCAAATAATCATCTTACAGAAAGAAAAGTTGGAA